GGAACCGAACTCACGACCTTGCGCTTGCCAGGCAGGCGCTTTTGCCGCTGAGCTAAATCCCCAGCCCCTAAGGAGGAATATTTTAAACAGTATTTGCCAAATTCATTTCCTTTTTTCCTATAGGCTTTCTTTTATGTGGACAACCTCTTTAGGCTGGTGTTTCACAGAATGTAAATATACTGTACCCTTACAAATCTTACTTTCTTCAGATGCCATTGTCGTTGGTTTTGATATTCCTTTAATGGACTCCTGTGACTAGTGGGAAGTGGCTTTTTTTTTTTTTTTTTTTTTTTTTTTTTCCTGGGAATTGAACCCAGAGCCCTTTTTTTATTTTATATTTTGGGACAGGGTCTCACTAAGTTGCCCAGACTGGGCTGAAACTTGTGATCCTACTGCTTCAGTCTCCCACAGTGCTTGGATTATAGGCATGTGCCATCATGCCTAGCTGGCCTGCTGTTTTTATTTTCTTTTAGGTGGGCAGGAATTAGGATTTATTAGTAGGCATAAGTAAGGTGGTGGCAGCACCATGCAACCTTCATGAGTGCAGGCTCGCCACTTGTCTAGGAGACATGGTTAGGTGTGTACGTGTTTGATCCGCAGCTATCTGATATAACCCTCCTCTCAGACACCATATCTCTTTTCAGACACGATATCACATTCATGCACATTAACCTTGGTAATATGCTCCTCCAAGCTGTGTGTCTTCTGGTGGACAGAGAACTTGAACTTGGTCTATGTAGGTTCTCCATTACATGCTGTCTAATCTGCAGCTTAGGGCAGATTGACATGATTTGGCCGTGAGAACCCTGGCCACGGAGCCCTTTTGCTTTCCAAAGGTGCTCCCCATAACTGTGTTGAACCTCGATTTGAGACAGCATGACATCAGCCACATGAACTTCCAGTGGAAAGGGCTGACTCCAAAGTCCCAAAAGCAACCTGTACACGCAACAGGCACTGTTCACTGAAGATAAAGCTGCTATTTGCAGTCATTGACACTGGGGCCCCTGGGGCCCATTCTTTAAAAGGTCGTTTAATTAATTACTCTTAAGTGCTGCTTCCCGTACCTGTTGGCTCACTGTCGTGCCTCACTGTGATTCTGCGGAATGACTCAGCTCTGCTGCAGCCTTTCTGCTTGTCACTGCAGAGAACAAGAAGAGGAGGAAGACTTCCATAATGAAGGAGAGCATTGTAGAGGGATGACAAGCCAAGTGTGATGGTGCGAGCTTGTGATCCAAGTTACTCAGGAGACTGAGGAACAAGGATTGCCAGCTTGAGGCCAGCCTGAACAACTTACCAAAACCCTATCTCAAAAAAAAAGTCTGATGCCAGGCGTGGTGGTGCATGCCTGTAAATCCTAGCACTCTGGGAAGGCGATGGAGGAGGATTGCAAGTTTGAGCCCAAGTTGGGCAATTTATATACTTAGCAAGATCCTGACTCAAAATAAAAAATAGAAAAGGGCTAGGCATGTCATTCAGTGCGAAGGCTCTGGGTTTGAACCTGAGAACTGGGTGGGAGGGTGTCTGGTGCTATAGCTCAGTGGTATATCTTTTGGCTAGTGTGTGTGAGCCCGAGTTCAACCCCAGGACTCAGGGAAAGGAGCCACCTCTGCCTACTAACATTCTCTCAAAGTCTGGTTTTTCAGCGCGTCCCTGTTCACTTGAATGTCTGGAAAACCATTCCTCACTTGTAGTTTCCTGCCTACAAAGGACGCTGTTATCTATGGTTTTAATCTCAGACTTGCCTCCTATCAGTAATATTTTCTTCTCAAAAAAAAACCTTTCAGGAGTATTTTCTGAGGTACGCTATGAGAATATGATGTTGCTATGTTTTGTAATTAGTACACACAAATCTATAATTGAAATGAAATTTTTTTTTTGTCTTTTTGAGACAGAGCCTTTTGAATTAGAGACCGGCATGGTGGTGGTGCATGCCTGTAATCCCAGAACTAAGGAGGCTGAGGCAGGAAGATTGCTATGAATTCGAGACCAGCCTGGGCTACAAAGTGAGCTCAAAGCCAAGCCTGAACTGCATAGTGAGACCCTGTCTCAAAAAAGACCAAAAAAAGAAAAACTTGTTACTACTACATGTTTGTAGTACATAAACTATTGCATTTGTTATAGAGATTGCACATCTTAATTCTTATTACATCTCCCTTCACTTCACCCTCCCTCAGCCTTAAGCATAATTTAAAAGAATATTGTTTCTTAACCTCTGTCAAAGATGTACATTTTGGTGATAATTTGGATGTTGTATTACAGGAAAAATTACATAATCAAAGCTGAGTACAGGGGCTGGGGATTTAGCTCAGCGGCAAAGCACCTGCCTGGCAAGCGCAAGGTCGTGAGTTCGATTCCTGGTATCGGAAGAAGAGACAAAAAATAAATTAATAAATTAAAAATTAAAAAGAAAAAAGCTGAGTATATGTTTGTTCAAATAAATTAGAACCTTACCTCAGTAATACTTTTTTTTTTTTTTGGTGTTTTTGAGACAAGGTCTGGCTATGCAGTCAGGCTGGTCTGGAGCTCACCTTGTAGCCTAGACTGGTCTCGAGCTCGCAATGATCCTTCCTGCCTCAGCCTCCTGAGTGCTGGGATTACAGGCATACGTCACCACACCTGCCTAATATTCGTTATCTTTTATCATACTGAGCAATCCAGTTATCTTTCAGTTTACCCACTGTTATAAAATTATTACTCTAAATAATTTAGAAGATTAAAATCTAAAGTCACTTTTCCAAGGCTTTGTGCTCAATCTAGGAAGTCAGTTTCTACCTGGCACCAGACGTGGTGAAGAGCCGGTTAAATTAAGCACTATGTAAATGTTAAACAATCAGAGGGAAAGAGTGTGCAGACTTCTGGATGAAACAGGAGCGTATTATGATCTTCCATCTTCATTAGCTTTTGGTATTTTTTGTCTTTGTTAGTAAAGTTCTGGGAGGGAGAAATCAGATTTATTCAAGTTTATGTTCTTTTTCTTTTTATCTGGAAATAAGCTTCACATTTACAGAACATTGCCATTGATTTGTGTAGAAATCATACAAGGAACTTTCCTATATCTCATATACAGATTGACCAATTGTTAACATTTTGCCACGTGCTTCAAAGTGTATTTCCTGTAACAAGGACTTCTCAGATCAAAATCAAAGAATTTGGGTGCAGCATTATTGTGTAATATTCCATATTCAATATGGTTCATGTTTCATCTTCAGCTATCACCCAGTGATGTCCCTTATGGACATCATTTTTTTCCTACTCCAAAGTCATACAGATAACTGTTGGTAGTCACCTTTGATCTGAAACACCCTACTGCCTTTCTTTTTGTCTCTTTGGTGCTGGGGATAAACCCAGGGCCTCACATATCCCAGGCAAGCACTCCACCACCAGGCTACATCTCCACCCCTTTTATTTATTTGTTACAGTTAATGTGATTAAAGCTATACAGCACCAGACCCAGTGTGACAGTGGCGTTTTTGAAGACTATACCATGAACTAGTGGCGGTGATGCACACCTGTAACCCCAGCTGCTCCGACGGTTCTGGCAGAGCTTTGTAGGACCGTGGCCAGCCCCACACAATTTAGTGAGACCCCGTCTCGAAATAAAAAAGCCTGGAGGTTTATCTCAGTGGTAGAGTATTTGCTTAGCATGTACAAGGTCCTGGATTCAATCCCAGCCCTCTAGCAAGGCAAAAATATATATATATATATATATAAAATCTGTTTTATACTTTTTCTTTTCATTTTTGGCTGGGGAGTGAACCCAGGGTTTCATGCACACTAGGTAAGTGCTCTCCCAGTGAGCTATATCCCCAAATATGTTTTTAGACAGCCTTGTATTCTTGGCACAGGGCATTAACCAAAGAATTTTTTCAAAAATTACCTATAAGCCTGGGGTTGTAACTCAGGCAGAATACTTGCTTAGCATGCTCCAGGCCCTGGATTCAACTCCCAGTGTGTAGACAAAACAAAAGAAAAACCTATTGAACAGATTTTTTTTTTTTCCTTGTGATGCTGGGGATTTAATCGAGGGCCTCGAACATGCTAGAAAAATGTACACTCCCAGCCGTATTGACCACCTTTGATAGAGCGACTTCCTTTCACAGAATTTAATATGGGAAAGACATGATTTTTTAGAAAGAGAATATATGTCCAGACTTAAATGCTTGGATCACATTTCTGCCACGTAGTAGTTGTGGCAAGGACAAGTTACTTCATCTCACTGACTCAATTTCCGTGGCTCTAAGAGCATGTGGGACAGAGCACTGGCATGAAGGAAGGAAGTGAAGTAGATGAACAGAGTAGAGCAGCACAGGGTGCGACACCCCCCCCACCCCCGTTACAGAAGGGCGCCTGTTCGTGTCTCCATTGAGGATTAAGTAGCTGCAGTCTGTAGAAGAGAACAGAGAAAACCTGGAAATAAGGAAATCATGTGGTTGTAGCACTGATTCCTTAGATCAAATGTCACTCAAGAACTCCTTGCCTTTCATAGGTGTTTAAGAACCCCCCACACCCACAGCCTTTGTACCACGCTGTATTACAAGCCTTTTTTTGTTGTATTTTTGTTTTTGTTGGACAGGATTTTGCTTGAACTCACTATGGCCAGTTTATAACTAGACATAATTGCTGGCCTTGAACTCACTAGCCCAGGCTGACCCCAAACTTGTGGCAGTCCTCCTGCCTCAGCCTCCGAAGTGCTGGTATTAGAGGCATGTGCTGCTACAACCAGCCCAAAGCCTTTTTACTTTTTGTTTTGAGACAGTCTGGATAAGTTACTGAATTGTCCAAGCTGTGCTCATACTTTTGACGCTCCTGCCTCAGCCTCCCAAATTGTTGAGATGTGCACCACCATGCCCAGCTTTGAAATCTTAACAAAGATGTGGAGGCTCCTTAAAGTTTTTATCCTGTATTCAAGTTCTGTGGTATTTAGTATCTTTCATTACCATTCACTTTCCAAACTTAATAACTGAAGACAAAATGGTAATGTTCAAGGAATCATTTACTAAGGAACAGCTTAGTGTTTGTGCGTACGTTGGCTTATTGATGTAACCTGTGTGCTGAATTCACTGGAATGTGGCATAATCAAATTTGGCTTCCTGCACCGCTGAGTTGGTACAAGAAACTCTTGGCAGCTACTGAAGGGCTATTCTTTGCAGTTATTTGGTGTAATTGCCACAGAAGTAAATTCCAAGAAATGATATTTTTGCTAGGTTGTACCCTGTTTCAGGCTAAAGGAATTCATGCTAAGGGCCAACAGTCTCTAACCAAAGGTGATTGTCTTGGCAGCCGGGAAGATTTCCAGAGGATTCCAGAGCTTGCCATCAACCCACTGGGGGACCGGATCATCAATGCCTTCTTTCCAGAGGGGTAAGTTGGGACACTGGTTTGACCTCCATCCTATGGCTATGTCAGCCTAAATTTATTGCTAATCTGAAATAAAAGATTTTAGTTGGATCATTTCAGGGCCCCGTCCCCATGATAAGAGACATCTCTAATTTGTCATATCTAGATTTATCTCTTGTGTTCTACTCTCCTCCCTGTTTTCTTTTGTTGTTTTGTTTGGGTTGGGGTTTTTGTTTTTGAGACAAGGTCTTGCTATGTAGTTCAGGCTGGCTTTAAACTCACTACAGTAGGCTGGGCGTGGTGGCGCATGCCTGTAATCCCAGCACTCAAGAGGCTGAGGCAGGAGGATCATTGAGAGTTTGAGGCCAGCCTGGGCTACAAAGTGAGCTCAAAGCCAGCCTGAACTGCATAGGGAACCCTGTCTCAAAAAGACAAAAAAAAAAAAAATAGATAAATAAATAAATAAACTCACTTACTCACTCACTATGTAGCCCAGGCTAGCCTTGAATTTGGTAATCCTCCTACCCTAGCCTTCAAGTGCTGGGATTACAGATGTGTGCCAGCCACCATGCTCAGCTTTTCCTCCCTGTTTTAAACTTCAGTGTGTATATGAATCTAGCTTCACAATTCTGTCTTTAATCTCAGTTTATCATTGACATAAAAGGACTTTTTAAAAACTTTTGTTTGGAAATAATTTCAAATTTGCAGAGAAATTGTAAAAGAAAGTTACTGAGCTGTTTTACATTTTTTATATTAAAAAATTGAAATCCAATGTGTAATTTTTTTTTTTCTTTTTGTCTGTTTCTCGGGTTTTTTTCTGGTACCAGGAATTGAACTCACGACCTGGCAAGTGCAAGGCATGGCGCTGTGCCGCTGAGCTGTAATTTATACTTGCAGCACGTACGAAGTCAGATTGAGTTTGTATTGAACAGTGCACCTCCGCCTCTGTGCTTGCCGCCCCTTCCTACTTCTCTCTCTCTGCCCCCTCCTTTCCTTTCTCTCCCCTCTCCTCTCTGTGCACACACGTGTATATGTGTGTATATACACATATATTCTCACATACTTTTTCTGTGTGTGTTCACATAATTGTATTTCTGTGCGGTGAACTTGATGGTAGCGTACATAGTCAGTCGTGGCCCTTTACCTCTGAATACTCCAGTGTGTGTTGACTGAGAACAGGGATAGTCTTTCATACAGTGATAATACATGTATCCATCTTGGTACTTCTTTTTCATAGTACTGGGTATGGAACCCAGGGTCTCATGCATGTTAGGCAAGTGCTCTACTACTGAGCTGTATCTCCTGGTTCTATACTTCTATAAGCTTAACATTGATAAAATATTTCTGTTACTCTCTTATATTTATTATCTAATATCCTGATCTGCTATTTTTTTTTCTAGTCAGATTTCTGTTCTATTATGTATACTCCATCTTGTCAGCTCATTCATTGTCTTGGTTATTTTTCTCTCGTTGCTGAGACAATATCCAACACCCAGCATTAAGGAAGGAAAGGTTTATTTAGCTTCCAGTTGGTGGAGCTTTCAGCCTATAATCAGCTGGCTCCAAGGCAGGGTGGCAGGACATAAGATAGCAAAATCAGCAAGAGCAAAAAGGGAGACAAAGCAAACCTCTTTTCCCTCCTTATATTGTATGCCAACTGCCCGCCCCAGGGTGGGTATAGCACTTACACCCATAATCCCAGCATTGGACCATGGATCAATCGTAAACTCTAGAAGCCCACCTCATGACTGCCTGAGGCTTTGCAGGTACATCTATATACAAACTGTATCATCCAGTAATCCCCTTCCTAGCATGTACCCCTCCAATATAGGATCTAGTCGGGGTCACCTGTCATGCCTCTTTAACCTTTAATCTGGAACATTTAAAGCTTTAATTTTACTTCCATGATAATTACTAAGAATATATTTCCTTCCCATTCAACACACCTACTTTTAAAGTAAAGTAGTATAGATTGTTTCTTAACTTGGGTTGTCTCATGTAGAACTAGACTTTGTGGGGGCAGTGCTGGGGATTGAACCTAGCGCCTTATGCATGTTAGGCAAAGCGGTCCACCACTGAACTGCATCTTCAGCCCACATCCCCTCCCCTCCCCTCTCCTCCCGTTTCCTCCCCTTTCCTCTTTACACAACAGGGTCTCACTGAGCTGCTCAAGATGGCCTCCAGTTTACAATCCTCCTACTTCATTCTTCTCAGTACCTGAGTTATAGACATGTGCTGCTATGTCCAGTTTATAACTAGACCTTTGATGTGCTTTGCTCCCTAACACACTGCCTTTAGAGTACTGAGTAAATATTTAGTAAGCTTACCGTATGGTCTTGTTTTAAGTAATCTCCTAAACAGTCTCTTCGTAGTTCCATGTAAATTGTTTATATGATCCAGCGGTCTTTAAAGTGTTGTGTAGGTACCAGTTTCTTCTTTGGTGTTTTTGTTTTCTTGAGACAGGCTGTCTATGTAGCTCAGGTTGGCCTTGAACTCACAGCAGTCCTCCTTCCTCAGCCTCCTAAGTGCTGGGATAATAGGTGCACCAACATGCCCAGCTGGTGCCAGTATAATAATGATATTATTGGTGAGGACACTACCAGGTAAAATGCTTGGAGAAAACGTTCTAGGACTCTGAGACTTGAGATGATGGGTTGAGAATGACTGCTGGGCATGTTGGCACATGTCTGTAATTCTAGCACTTGGGAGGCTGAGGCAGGAGGATGACCAAGAGCTTGAGGCCAGCCTGGGTTACAAGTGAGTTCCTGTCTCAAAAAAAGGGGCTGGGGGGTGACTGTGGGGATAGGGGAGCCTAGTACTCCGGCTTTTTGGCTTAGTTTGGGTTGGGTTGGGTTTTTGTTTGGTTTGGTTTGGTTTTTTTCCTTGAGACATGGTCTCACTATATAGTGCAGGCTGGTCTTGAACTCCCTTATATAGCCCAGGCAGGCCTCAAACTCAGGATGATCCTCCTGCCTCAGTCTCTCAAGTACTGGGATTACCATGTGCCACCACGCTGGCACTCAGTTTTTATAAAGACTTAGGCCTATTCTTTTCAAATTCATGTTGAGCCATAGTCATCTCATACCCTCCCTGGATTTCCCATCTTTTTCCCTAAACTGCCCTGATCACTTCAGGTGTCTTTGTGCTGGATTCTTCCATTTTTCTGCTTCCTTTTCTCATGCCTGCTGAGCATTCACTCCTGTCCAGAGATAATGCTCACAGGCATGCTTTGTTCCCAGACCTTTTGCAGTGGGCAGTAAACCCAGACAATCACTTTGTCAAATCGCTTTTTCTTCACATTTCATTAGTCACCGTAGTTACTTGGAAAAACAGCCCAGGAAAAGCTGATCTACTTTCTACCTGCCATCCGCTCCACCAGTCTCTGCAAGGAACCTAGGAGGGGTGCACATAAGGAAGCAGCGGACAGAACTGCCTGGGGGTGCGCTTTGCCTGGGGCAGGGGCTGTGGACACGCTGTGCCTCTGCTTCTTGCTTCACTAAGCAGATGCCTGGCCCCTGGGCTTTTATTTCTCCTCAGGGGATCATTTTTTTCTTTTGTTCTTTTAAGTTTGGGGTTTGATAGTAGACCTTTGTAATTACTTCCTTGTTATTTAGAGATGTTATGCTAAGTCATCTGTGTACTCCTTAACCTGTTTATCCTGCCATCTGACTCAAATCTTACTCCACATTACGTGATTCCTCAGATCTTACTTTTTTGACTAGGTTCTATTTCGTTAGTCATAGAGTAGTAGCACCCTGGAGGAACTAAAGGTCATTCTTCTAAGTACTGTACAGTGAGTTCATGAGCTAGCTTCTCTGCCAGCAGAAGGTCTGAATAGTGTGTCTACCTGGCATATAAGAGACCTATATACCTTATCTATTCAGAGGGACGTGCGAAGACTAGAACTTTTTTGAGGTAGTTATAAGAATCAGACCACCTGCTCTTCACATGGCTGCCTCAGGTAAACAGTTTATTAATAAATAAAGAATGTCACATGAGACATTCTTTGTTTAATAGTAAAGAATATTCTTTTGGGGTTTTTTGAGTCAGGGTCTTGCTAAGTAGTTCAGGCTGGCCTTGCACTCACTGTGTAGCCAAGGCTACCCTCAAACTCGCAGTGCGCGTCCTGCTTCTGCCTCCCACTCCTGGGATTACAGGTATACACCACTATGCCCAATTTAAGACATTCTTCATCTGTTCAAATTTTAGAGTTTTTTTCTGTTAGAGTTACAGACTAGCTTGTGGTACAATAAAAAGATTTTCTCTAGCCAGGCGTGGTGCATGCCTATAATCCAGCAGTCAGGGGGCTGAGGCAGGAGGATCACCAAAAGTTTGAGGCCAGCCTGGACTACATAGTGTGTTTAAGGGTAGTCTAATTTACATAGCAAGACCCTGTCTCAAAAGTAAATAAATAAATAAAATTTTTTAAAGCTCAAAATACAAAATTATCTATACAGAATATTTGTAATTATCTAGAAAGCAAAGAAGAATTAATGGAAGAAAATGTATTTATATTTGGGCTTGGATGTAGTTTGGTGGGTTCAAGCTCCAGCACCACAAAAAAAAAAGTCCCACCCTGATTGACATGGTTTTGTGTTTTTCATATTTCCTATCCAGAGAGGACCAGGTGAATTTCCGTGGATTCATGAGAACTTTGGCTCATTTCCGACCCATTGAGGATAATGAAAAGAGCAAAGATGTGAATGGACCAGAACCACTCAACAGCAGAAGCAACAAACTGCATTGTAAGGAGCTGGAGTCACCTGGCCTAAAATACTTGCTGCTTATTTCTTATAAGTCATGTGTTTCACAATATTTATAGGAGCAGAGTGTTTAAGTGCTCAGACCTTGGGGCTACACTGGCTGAGTTTCAGTCCCAGCTTTACTGCTTATTGGCTACAGAACTTTGGGCACATTACTTAAGCTCTCTGAGCCTCACTGTCCTTTTCTGAAAAGTAAGCTTTTAAGGGATTCTGTGGGAGATTGTCATAAGGATTTAATGGGGGTTTTTTGTTTTGTTTGTTTTTTGTTTTTTTAAGACAGAGTCTCTCTGTGTAGCCCAGGCTGGCCTCAAACTCATGGCAATCCTCCTGCCTCAGCCTCCTGAGTGCTGGGTTGGTTACAGGGATATGCCACCATGCCCAGCAGATTAAAAATATTATAAGGAATAAAAATATGCCAGGTGCTTCAAAGTACCTTACATATAATAATTATTCAGTAAGTATTACCTGTTTTTTTCTTTTGTTCTATTGTTTGAGACAAGTTCTGACTGTGTAGTTTAACCTGGCCTTGAGCTCACTGTGTAGCTTATACTGACCTTGAGCTCACTGAATAGCCCAGGTAGGCCTTGAACTCGTAGCAGTCTTCCTGCCTCAGCCTCCCTGGTGGGGGGATTACAGGCATGTGTGCCACCACACCGAGCCACCTCCTGTTATCCTAATTTGCTGTGTGCCTAATGAATCCCAGAGACTCTTTTAAGTACTAGATTGATAGTAGCAAACAAGACGCAGTCCCATCCCTAAGGCCTACTGGGAGTCTACTTGTCTCAGAATTTGTTTGTCTGTATGTAAGTAGGGGCAGATAGCTAGATTAGTGCAGCACTGAATTTTTTGTCCCCATGCCTCTTTGCCCCCTGTATCTAGACACCCACTAAATTTTGCTTCTACCCCTGTTGGTTCATGGGATACTGCCTGGTCCTTTACAACACTTTACCAGGAAGCTGAAATTGAATTTCTCTTCCCTTCTAACACAAGTTGAAAGTGCCAGTCTATGAAACTGTTTTGACAGAGGGGACTTTTTGTTGCCCCTCTTTGATGTCTTTGAGAAGCGCTGGACTGATTTTAGGTTTCTAGGTTGGGCAACCTTTGCGAAAGACTATGGAAACTCATTTATCAGGGCTGACAGTCCAATTTTTTCCTCAGTCAAAATGTGGAACTCAGAAAGAATTGCTGTAAGTCATCTCGGGTAGGCGTTAGATGGTGCCATGTGACCAGGATAGGCACGTCTGGTGGGGTGGGCTCTGTGGCCAAATGCAGGCAGTGGCTAGCTGGAACTGGCTCAGTTGGCTGGAAGTAGATGAGTCAGGAGTGGAGAGTGAAGCTGTAGGTGTTGGCAGCAACTGCAGCGGCCAATGAGGGTGCCAAGGCTGAACTCTCAGGAGGAGAGTTCTTTTTTCCTCTTTTTTCTTTGAGCAGTTTGGTTTCATTTTTAACTCCATAATCTAAGAAGAGCCCTTTTTTCTGCAGTCAGGAACTGTGGGTTTTAACTAATTAGTTTCTGTTATGGTTTGTGTCTGGGTGTCCCCCCAAAGCCTCATGC